GTTATTGATGTGACGGCCTAGGGTGGGTCGTTACACATGGCATCATAAAATTCTTTGTCATCTATCTCTTTGTCACCCATTGCTTCTTCATCTATGTCACCACCTTCATACATGCTCGAATATGACATTGTACCTATATAAAACAATATAACTAAAAATAATAATATAATAAAAAAAATAAAATATGTTAAAATATTTCAATCAAGTACGACCAAAATAACACCAAAACAATATAATTCCACCATTCAAAATGTGTTCATACACAACCAAAATATAAAGTAAACACTTCAATCAAGTGCAACTAAAATAACACCAAAACAATATAGTTTGATAAACCAACATGTGTTCATACACAACCAAATTATAAAGAAAATACTCAAATCAAGTGCAACCAAAATAACATCAAAGCAATATTGTTCATCCTACCTTGTACTTTATCCAGTATGAACGCTCTTCTATTGACAACATCAAGAAAAAGTATTTCTTTGCATTAGTATTGAGCAAATCATCCGCCATGTAGCAAGTTTGATCATCCAAATTTGGGATCTCTTTTATGGCACTCCAAATATTTTCCTTTGCCTCTTGGTATCTTTCTCTTTTATCCATCAAGTTAGACATTTTTTAAAAATTGGCAGCTATAGTCTCAATGCCAAAATATAGATTTTCTAGAACTTTGGCTTGACTATTGTTCCTAGCTGAGTTAGAACTCACTCCATACTTAGACCTACTCCGCTTACGATTAATTAGTTTTTCAGTGGGAACCTTTGAGCTTAAAGGGGGTTGAGGTGGTGAAATGCTTGGGTGAGGTGATGGAGGCTGGTAAGATGGGTCATAGTGATCTGGTGTTATGAATACATCATTGTTAAGATCATATGAAAAGTTTTCCATCCCAAAATCAACATTTTCTTCTCCAAAAGTTGTAGCATCAGTATCATCAAGGTCTAGTGACATGGAAGTGTGCCCACTAGCGGTTTTACCCCCAACAACAATCTTCAAAATCCTCATAATCAACCATACTTTTTCTTTAAGATTTTTGTGACTTGGGTGAGATTAGAAAAAAAATCATTATTAATATATTGAAAATAATATAATGCACTAAAACTTGTAAACTATTAATATATTCAAAAGATTACGAAGTAATCTCACCTTTAAGTACTCTTTCCATACTTCATCACTAGCGGTGAATGTCTTTGTAATTGGATCCCACCCAAAGCCAGAGTTGTTGCGCATAAGTGTTGACATATTGTTATATTGTTTCCTAAACCACTTCATTTGACTCAAGTAATGATTATACATTTTAGGGAATTTAATTTTAGCATTGAGACGAGGAAGGATGATTCTCTCCACATTTAGTTTGCTAATTGACCCATGCCAGAAGGTTCGCATGTCTAACTCTATGAGTCCACCCGATCTCTTTGAAAGTTGGTATTCTCAATCGCTTGAAGTAGTTGATGCTCTTGTGAGACCTCCCACTCGAATTTTTTCCTTCTCCACCTCAACTTCCATTCCCATCTACCATCCACCCACCCACCCATTTCAGATATCGAGTCTTGTTGCTGCAAAGAGTTGGTGAATAACCTTGAAAATGTGACTGTAAAGCTAACGGGGCTGGCCTAGTTGTCGAGCCAGAATCTCACCTTATCCCCCACCCCTATTTTTCACTTGACAACTTTGTCAAACCAACTTTTGACTTCCACACCACCACATACTGAAATAACTTCCCTCCACCAAATAGAACCCTTGCTTATTGCCAATTGTGCACACATATTGTACCCACCACCATACCTAGACTATAACAATGTGCTCCATCCTGAATTATGCTAATAAAAATGTTCCACCTCCATTTTGCTAGTAATGCCTTGTTGAAACTATCATTTTGCTAGTAATGCCTTGTTGAAACTATCAATGTCTTTCACGCCCAAGCCACCCTTACTTTTAGGAAGAGTCACCCTATCCCACTTTATCCAACAAATCTTCCGTTGCTCATTCTTAGACCCCCACAAGAGCCATCTTTGCATAGAGGTTATCAGTCTACTAACTGCCCTTGGAACCTTAAAAAAGGACATGTAGTATATAGGGGGAGCGAGGTTAAGAGAGAGTTTATAAGACACACACCCTTCCAGCCATGGATAATACTCTCCACTTCCATGATGACAATTTCTTCCTTATTTTATCAACAACAGGTGCCCAAGTCTCCTTTTTCCTTGGGTTAGCACCAATCGGCATGCCTAAGTAGGTCAAAACATCTAAGAATACTTCAGCCCAAACTTACTCTTAACAAAGTTAACCTTTAGCCCAGAAACTAGCTCAAAACATCTAAGAATACTTTTTATAGCGACCACGTTCTCCAAACTCGCCTCACCAAAAAATATAGCATCATCAGCGTATTGAGAAATACTAACAGAGACTTGTTGGGTTCCCATCTTCACACCAAAGAACCTATTACTTCTTTCCACTTCGCTCATCATCCTTGACAACCCTTTTGTAGCCACAATGAAAAGGAAAGGGGCCAATGGATCACCTTGCCTCAATCCTCTCTTAGGTGAGAATTCTTCCGATGGGCTACCGTTGACCAATACGGATACCCTAGATGTTATTAAACACTCTTCAATCCACTTCACCCATTTACCACTAAATCCCAATCTATGTAAGCAACAATGGCGTAGTTTCTTCTTGAAGAAGAAGAAGAGTTGATGAACCAAGGCACAAAGGAAGGATTCCTTTGTGAAGGTTCTTAAGGAGAAGGTGTGCTCCATGGATTAGGACTCTTGAAAGAGAGAGAATTTTCTAAATTCTAATCTTATATATTAGCAAAAGTGATTACAAAGGTAGAAAAAAGACTTATATAGAGTAGGGAAACTTGTGGTGCAAGCTAGGCTAACAATGGTTCAAGAGAACCATGGTTAGCTTAACTTGACCAACCTAGTTGGTTTAGGAGATTTATGGAGCAAGCTTCTAACTTAGAAGCTTGGGAAGTAAGCGAAGTTAGAAGCTTGTAACACAAGCTTCCCAAGTGTGCAATGCAAGCCAAGCAATTCGACCAAGGGAACAAGGCTAGGCACCCAAGGCTTGATTTTCATATTTAATCCAATCCGAAAACTTGGAATTGGTTTAGTTAGGTTCACCAAATGGTGGTGAAATCTAGCTAAATCAATTCCTTGGAAAATATGGAAACAAGCCCAATATGTAAAATTTAGTATAGGCCCAATTCTGGCCCAATTACTAGTTGCACCTACACACCTTACTATTTGTCACCCCACTTCTACTACTGAAAATATAAAAATGAATGACCCTTAATACAAGGTCAAATGGAGCAAAAGTCTCCAAGTAACATATCCTAAATTCTCAAAAGAATATCCTATAATAAAATAAAACTTGTACAAATCATGTACAAACTCATATACATACGGTACCAATCACCTCATCATTGCCATTTCTAGGTAGCCTTGCTAGGAGCTATGTAATAGGACCATCCCACCATAGGTGATCCCCCTGATCCATCCTGAATTATGAGAGGTCTATCAGGATATAGTCGAAGTGTTATAGTCTATTGTGATCACCTCATATTGCCTATTAAAGGTTCCCACTCATAACACCCCCAAGATCTAGGTAGATGACCTTCAAGACCCTCCTGCATAAATTCACACTACTTTGCAAAAAAAAAAATGTATGTATGGACTCAAACAACTATAATACAACATTACATATGCAATGACTAGTAAGTAATATATGTCAGACCTAGCCCTCGACTACTCTACAATTAATCAAGTTTTGCATGGATTACAACAATGTTAACTGCAACGTGGGCTTACATTCTCAACATCACATCTCATCCTCATACATCATCATGATATTATCTTCATATATCAACACTGTTTATTCGTAACACATTACAACATTCATCATTTCTACATCACTATCTAAACATCTATATTGTTCATTCATCACATATTATAGCATTAATCATTATAATACAACTCACCAATGTCTCACATGTTGTACTCATCGTTCTTAAGTCAAACATCCACATTTCATATAACATATAGGCACAAAGTCTCAACCACAAAGTCTTATAAACATAAGTTCACACATCCACCACTCATCCAAAATTATCTTATCTCGCACTTTCTCTTTCTTAATTATTGTATTAGTATTTCAAATCAATTTCAATATTAAACATTTAAAGAATAAAGCAACTCGCCATTACATGTCACAAACTACCTCTTCTTAGCTTAAGCATCTATGATATCATGTGATTTAAACACAATATCTAAAGTTGCACCTATGATATCAAGTTGATCTTAATTTTATAATAAATTTATGATAATCATTTACAACTTCTATGTAACATCCTATTATTTTAATATTATTATTGGGTATTTTCGTAAGTTTTAGGGGTATTTTTGTAAATATTAATGGCATTTTTGTAATTTTATTAAAGTTTGAGGGGTAAATGGGTAACTTGGAACGGGCCGTTCCAAGCAATAAAAAGATACTGAAAATTTAAGTTGGGAACGGGCCCAGAACGGGCCGTTTCGGAAGGAGAACGGGCCGTTCCGGAGGGAGAACGGGCCGTTCTGCTGAGATTGAGAAACGGTTGTTCTGATTTTAGAACGGGCCGTTCTGCTTTTTGGGAACGGGTCATTCCGATTGTAGAACGGGCCGTTCCAGTTCAAAAATTTGCGTACATTTGAAGGATTCGGAACGGGCCGTTCTGAATTTAGTACGGCCGTTCCGGGGGCGGCAGGATGCCTATAAATAGGGGGATAGGGGAGTGAAAATTTTATAAATGAGTGAAATAGTAAATTTTTAGAGAGAGAGAGAGAGAGAGAGAGAAAAGGAGAAAGAAAGAGAGAGAAAAGAAGAGGGAATCCATAAGAGGAGGTTTTGCTCTAGTAGTTTCGGTTATTGTTTAAGGAAAGAGAGGTGGAGGTTCTGCCCTAGTTCCGGTCACTTTGTAAGGAAAGAGAGGTGGAGGTTCTGCCCTAGTTCCGGTCACTTTTTAAGGAAAGAGAAGAGGAGATTCTGCCCGAGTTCCTATTATCCAGGTACGGGGGAAAAGGGGATTATTTATATGTATAGTACATGAGGGAATTGGGTAGAGGAAGAATTTCTTAGGATTATGATTGATTTTACAATTATTTAATTTGGAGAATTATTGGTTCTATTAAAATTAGCTGTGTTGAGGTTTATAAATATGCCTAGGTGTAGGAATGATGATCTGGGAAGAAGAATGAATTGTAAAGAAAATGCGGTGAGCTAGATTTTGGAATAATCAGGGGTTTTACTGTTTATATTAATTATTCTATTGATTATTATATTAATGAAAGTTATTGCTATATTATTTGTTAAGAATGAATGATATTGATGTAAATTGCTTGAGGGGTATGTAAACCCTATTTTGTTGAACTTATTTGTTGTGAATGTGATTTTGATTTTGATTGTGGTGCCTCACATCGATGACTAGGGACGGCACGGCCCCTGGGTATGTGGTGCTACAGGGAGGGCGTGACCCTAGCATGGTGTGGGATGAGTAAGACAGTTAACACCACCACTTATGTCGTTTATGGCAGCCCTGACATAGGGTTAATTGCAAGAGATTGTATTAATTGTAATGTGATTGTGTTTTCCTCACACCAAATGATTAGGGATGGCATGGCCCCTGGGTAAGTGATGCTACAGGGAGGGCATGACCCTGGTCTGGTGTGGGTTGAGTGAGGCAATTAACCTGTATCACTTGTGTCAGATGTGGCGAGGTCTTGGCATAGTGTTAATTGTGAAATTGGCATGAATTATAGATGTTGAAATAATTGTTATATTGATGTGAATGAGGAAAGGTAAAAATGATAGTGTTAATTATAAAATTTAAATGGATTGTGATGGATTGATAAATTATGATACATGCTCGTAAATATTTTATTAAATAAAGAAAATATGATGAGATTTTAACATGGTGTGTTTGGATGTACTTTGCATATAGATATCTTCTTTTCTCACCGTATAAATTGTGGATATTTTAGGTGGAGAAGATCCGGCTGCAAGTGGCATATAGGATGCCAACAGTTTTATTTTGGGAAATGCTCTGATATTGTGACATCGGGGCAGAGGATTTTTAGGACGAAATATTCATGTGAATTTGGTATTGTAATATTTTGAAAACAACTTGTAAAAACTCTTGTGTTTTATGATTGATATTTCTATCAATATGGTTGTTCGAAGTTTTTCATGTGAACCCTTTTTAC